TGATGAGAAAATTGATCAATTTAACATGACAGGATCTGGGTATAAAACTAAAAGAAAACGATTGACCTCGTTCATTCCACCATTAACTGCTAAAGTGAAAGCTGCGAAAAAACTTGGTCTAAAACCAAAAAACATCAAAGATATATTTTCAAATTAAATATGTCTTTCCTTTATAATCATTCTTGCGAGTGCGTTAAGTCCGAAATGTCATCAGAAAGTGGATTCATTATAAACCAATTTCATCTCTTGGTGATGATGGACCTATCGAGTTTCAAGTTCCTGGGACAGGCGATGACTACATAGATTTGTCTCATACATTACTCCACATAAAGGCAAAAGTATTAAATCAAGATTCAACTAACTTGATATCTACTACAATAGTAGCACCTGTAAATAATTGGCTGCATTCACTTTTTAGTCAACTTGATGTTTATTTAAACCAAAAACTTATCACCACCTAATAATACTATGCATATCGAGCATACATGGAAACCCTTTTAAACTATGCTCCTGCTGCTAAACAATCTCATCTTACTTGTAGTCTTTGGTATGATGATACAGCAGGAAAAATGGATTCTACGGATGGTAAAAACATAGGATTTGTTAAAAGACAGGAATTGATTAGTGAAAGTAAGGAAATAGAAATGATTGGTCATCTTCACGGTGACATTTTCAACCAAGATAAATTTTTAATTAATGGTGTTGAAATGAGTGTTAAATTGGTTCGATCGAGAGAGAGCTTTAATTTAATTGCTGAGTCAAACGATGTAAAGTTTAAAGTTTGCATTACGGACGCAACTCATATTGTTCGACGAGCACGAATTAATCCAAGTGTATTACTCGCACATCAAAAAGTTTTAGCTTCTACCACTGCTAAATATCCTATTACTCGAGCTGAAGTAAAAGTTTTAACAATTCCATCGGGTGTTCAAGGAAAAACCCTTGATAATATATTTTTAGGGCAGGTACCCAAAAGATGTATAATTGGATTTTTGAACAATTCTGCATTTAATGGTTCCCTTACTAAAAATCCATTTAACTTTGAAAACTATGGTATTAATTCTTTCAGCTTATATATTGATGGTCAACAAATACCTTCAAAAGCTTTGCAATCATCTTTTAATAATAGCATATTTACATCAGCATATCATACTCTATTCTCGGGAACTGGTATTTACTTTCTTAATGAAGGAAATGGAATCTCTTGTGAACAGTATGCCAAAGGTTACTGTCTATTAGCATTTGACTTAACTCCTGATTTATCAGCCAACTCATCAGCTTGTAGCGGCGCTGTCGTCGCGCCACAAGCGAAAACACACCGAAGCCTAAATCGGCTCAACATTCCGAATCATAAACAGTATATATAGAACATCTCCGAATTATCACTCAGAGTGTTGACCGCTCCCCGGGCAGAACACCTTGTCCGGCGGGAGATCTCCCCTTTTCCTTCTACGGCCACAGTGGTGACCCCGACGTGATCTGCATCGTGAACTCGCAACCAAAACAACCTTCGGAAACTTCAAGCTTCATCATCGTCATAGAATACCCCACCCATTCGCTCCCGAGCAGATATAAACTGCAGTCTTCATATCCTGCAAGCCATCTAGCTTCACAAGGTTCATCGCAGCACTGGAATAATAATGCTTCCTGTTCCTTCAATCTACTCTCTGCGCCATACAGTGTACGGCACGGCTCTGAGCCTTACTGCTCGCCTCTGCTTCACGGCACTCTCGCAGATTACTTGCCTTCTTCTCGAGTCACCGCAGACTACAAGGCAATCTCCTGGCACTTGCACATTCGTCAGGAACGAGGCTGCACTATCGACCTCCGGTCTGAGCAGGGGTGATGTAGCGGCGCTGTCATCGCGCCAAAAGCGAAAACACACCGAAGCATAAATCGGGCTATCAACATTCCGAATCATAAACAGTATATATAGAACATCTCCGAACTATCACATGGAGTGTCGGCCGCTTCCCGGGCAGAACACCTTGCCCGGCGGGAGATCTCCCCTTTTCCTTTCACGGCCACAAGCTCATTGGAATCTCATAAAGCATGGTAGTGTAAGATTAGAAGTACGATTTGAATCCTCACTAATACAAACAATTAACTGTATAGTTTATGCTGAGTTTGATAATATTATTGAGATAGATAAAAACAGAAATGTTACTGTAGACTATAGTAGTTAAGGTTATAATATGTGATGTGTGTTATTGTTGTGTTTTATGAGTTATGTGTAATGCATTTTGTGTGTATGTAACTATGTGAAACGTTATAAAATTAAATAAAACAAATTGTATGCAACATATTACTTTTTATTTCTTTATAAATATTCTACTTAATCTAATACAAAACTCTGTTCGAGTTTAAATTTTACATAAGCACACTGTCTAAACCACTGAACATGCTGCTGCCAAGGATCATCATCATCTTCCCAATCTTTTAAGCCATCACCACAATGGAACACTTGGTCCGTCTGCATGGCCAGTATAAAAGAAACCAGCTTCTGCAAGATCTTCAGGTTTCTGTCGCATAACGAGAGGCCAGTTTTCGAAACTGAGCAACCGGCTAGATTTTGAACTGAAGAATGGATATTCAGCTCTTGAGTACTGCATATTCTTCTCGTTTTCATCTCCACTCAGTGTTGTAGTTTTGTTCTTCAATGATGTGTTCTGTACACGTATGCCACACTCATCTCTTTCTTCTGCTCTTGTCTTCCTGTAATTTAAGTAAACAGAATCACATTCACTAATGATCAGCTAATGACTGTCATTGTTAAAAAAGTATTTTTTAACTTTTTCACTTTCTGATATTGTCTTTGTAATATTGTATACGAGGGCGTTTGTGTTGTCGTAGATGCTATCCTTATTAGTCTTTACGTAATATTTAATCCTCGTGGAAGCATGTTTCCAATGATCAGTAGTTGGAATCTTGGATAGCTTCTTCATATCGTACATTTCAATTTTGATGAGATGCGTCGCTTGGTCTCCGTCGTCAGAATTAGTAGAAATGTATGATACACCATCTCTAGCGGCTCGTGCTACGGTTGATGATAACAGCTTCCTCTTTTTTATTTTTGATTCAGCTTCAAAAAAATGATTTTCGATTTTCTTTTTCCACCATCGCATGTGTTATTATTAATGACGATGTCATCACTCTCTTCTTGAGGGGAGAGTGGCGAGTAGTAATACTGTTTATAGGTATTTTCATCGAAGCTCAATGATTTCTGCAACAACACAGTTATCATGTTAATATCAATTTGTTAACACTTAATCATAAAAGTTAAAAAAAAGCAAAAATGGACGGCAGATTCGTGATCAGAGCATGCCAAAACTTTTTTTTTTTTAGGATCGTGAGTCGACGAAAGTCGTACTTGTACCACTTCTGACTCAGTGCGCCAGAACTGGTACAACGTAACTACTAGTGCGCCAGAACTGGTACAACGTAACTACTGTGGTTCTTCCCCGGTCAAGCCGACCCATTCCTGCTACGACCGTAATATAGCCGCAGAGTGGCTCTACCACTAATGTAGTGATTCTGCATGAAGGTTGCTATGAAAGTTGACGTCCGTTTAGTTCCCAACTCTTTTATCGACCAATCCGACAACTTCAAATACCGTTTGACGGAAAGGGTTCCCTTTTCACATTTATGTTTTTAGTAGTATTTAAAGAACATCAAAAAGTCCGGAGTGATTTCGGAGGGAAAATTTAATCGTCCTATCTTTCAGAAAATTTAGAACAAATTAAATTAAAAAGACGAAATAAAACGTGATTAAATCCGTAATATTTGTTTGATCTATTGTCTAGTAATCGCGTAAATATAAGAAATCTTTATGTACTCTTTAGAAAACCGCATACTATTACTTATTAAATGTAAATAAAAAAGCAATTAAAATAAATAAGAAATTTTGAGTTATTCTCTAAGAAATGAAAAGAGACCTTTTTGAAATTTTTAAGTTTTAATATTATTATGAATGTATGTAACATAATATGATTGATTTATAACAGGGAAAATTCGTCATCATTATCATCCTATTAACGATGACTTAAGCAATTATTTATTCCGTGACTTTCTAAAAATAAACTTTTCAAAGGCTGCCTCGGTAGGGAAGAATGTATTGGAATTTTTCTGCACTCCTTTTCGTGTTATTACTTAGTACCTCGGTTCAGCGGTAGACTTGTGAGGGTCGGTAAGATGATGATCTCTGATACATAATTAATAATTAAAATGTACTAGTGGCTTCCTCTTGGTCCAATGTCACCTGCGATTCATAAAATTTTACGCTCGTATATTAAGCAAGCTAGTACTTAACTTTTAACTGCACATTAATTAAAAGTCGATATCTAATATACAAAATATATAGTAGAGACATTTTTACCTTGACATACGCTATTGAAAAGGAACATTTGAAATCACAGAAAATTCACAGCTCATTCAATGTGTCAGTAATTGTTGGCAACCTTTTAAGCCACAATCTCTACTAAGTGCGACTGTTTGATCACAGACTATTGGTCTCAGATTAATCTATACTTATAAACTTATTACATAATAAAGCGGAAGTTTTTTTGTTTGTTTAACATGCTAATCTCAGGAACTACCCGTACAATTTGAAAGATTATTTTTGTATATTATAGCCAGATTTATAATAAATAGACTATCAAGCATTAGACCACACCTCTCAACTAGCCTTAAATATTGATTTTTGTTAACCCTAGAATACTAATTTTAGTCAATTCGACTAATACTGCACCCAAATCTTGCTGTCTCTTTCTAATGAATGCACCGCGCGACTTGATCATTCGTGTCAACTCAGTCGCCGGTCGGACGTTTACGGAAGGAACGGTGTCGAGCCGGTAAGTACAGCTATTTTGGAAATAATTCGTTTTTGTTAGTCGATATGACTAATGATTAGTATTTATGTAACTTTTGCGATAAATGTCTTTGTATTATTATCGCGAATTATTCGTTTGTTTATCATATTTTGTTTCATTTTAGATTAAAAAATGACTTCTTCACGACCCAGTAACACACGTAATTATACGGACGAAGAGTTGGCGAGATATTTGGATGATGAGGACAGTGATGGTGATGTGGAATCTGCTGGAAGTGAGACAGAGGACCAGTTAGAGATCGAGCAGCTGGAACAAACGGATGAAGAAGATATGCCAACTGAGGTAATATCATCCAATGTATCTAACCCAGATTCATCTATAATATCCGAGGAGACTTCGACAACACAGAAGAGTACAGCCCAGGAGAGTAACAATTCTTCTCTTCGTTCAAATATGATCCCCTTTTCTCAGAGTTTTACGCGGGAGAAATAGGTATGTTTGGTCTACCGTAAGGCCCCAGTACAATAGAACTTCAAGCTCTAATATTGTACATATATTCCGAGGTCCAACTAGTCACTGCAGAGGTATAAAAGATCTGTTGGCATATTTTGAATTGTTTATCTGATAAGATCTTAGATGAAATTGTAAAATGGACTAACGCAGAGATAATAATAAAACAACAAAATTATGCTACCCTTCGAAGCACTCGGCAACCCACAGACAAGTGTGAAATTAGAGCACTAATTGGGATCTTCATACTTTCCGCTGTTCTCAAAGACAACCACTTGTCTACTGACGAACTTTTCGACTCATCTTTATCTGGCACAAGATATGTATCTACAATGAGCAAAGATAGATATGAATTTCTTATATGTTGCCATAGATTTGATGATAAAAATTTTAGATTATCTTCTCAAAATAGGGACAGATTTATACCATTTAGAAAAGTACATACATACATAATACATAAACACTCACGCCTGTCACCCAGAGGGGTAGGCAGAGCTACGGACTTCCATTTGGCACCATCCTGACATACCTCTTTCGCCTCCTTTACATCCATATATCTACTCATACATGCTCGTCGGTTAAGGGTACTTCTAACGCCCCCTTTCAAAATATCGCCAATTTGGTCGATAAACTTTTTCTAGGGCGTCCCTTCCCGACTCGGCCGTTCACATCTGCCATATAAATTTGCTTTGTCACTCTTTCCTCATTCATTCTTTCTACATGACCAAACCACCGAAGCATTCCTTTCTTAATCCTGGTCACAACATCATATTGCATACCACAATTATCCATTTAGAAAAGTATGGGAGTTACTTATAGAAAAGTGTAGAACTAATTACCACCCTGGCATGTACATAACTATCGACAAACAATTGTTAGCCTTCAGAGGCCGATGCCCATTCAGGATGTATATCCCCAATAAACCCGCAAAGTATGGATTGAAAATAGTTATGATGTGTGATAATGGGTCAAAATATATGATCAACGCCATACCATATATAGGAAAAGCCACTGATACCGGGGGACTATCTCTAGGCGGGTACTTTGAAAAAGAGCTTACCCGACCCCTTCATGATTCAAATCGAAACATCACAACTGACAATTGGTTTACGTCTATTCCTCTAGCTAAGTCACTACTTTGCAAGCCATGTAAATTAACTATAGTGAATACCTTGCGTTCTATTAAAAAAGAAATACCCAATGAGATGGTTACCACCAGAACTAGACCTATAGGGACATCAATGTTTTGCTATGATGGTCCTTTAACCCTGCTATCATACAAACCAAAACCAAACAAGATCATTTATTTGTTATCATCCTGTTCAGAAGAAGTAACTATCAACCAAGAAACCAACAAGCCACATGTGGTTGAATTTTATAACCAAACGAAAGGCGGAGTCGACACGTTTGACCAAATGTCTGCGAACATGTCCTGTAGCCGCAAGATGAATCGATGGCCTATGTGCATCTTTTATGGGATGTTGAACATGACTTTTATAAACAGCTACGTTATTTATTGTGAAAATAAACTAAATGCCAGTGAAAAACCTTTTAAATCAAAAACAATTCATGAAAGAATTGCATACAGCCCTTGTTAATCCTAACATGGAGAGACGTCAAACTAAGCCGACATTGCATAAAAAATTAAGAGCTAACATTCAAGACTTGGTTCCAGATAGTGCAGGAGAAAGTAGCACTAGTTCTAATGAAGCTTTTGAATTGAAAAAAAAGGAAGATTTGTAGATATTGTCCGTATAAAAAACATCGCATGACCAAATCTATGTGCTCAAAGTGCACCAAAAATATATGCGGCGAACATAAAGTTGAAATATATGTCAACTGCAATAAAAAGTAATAATATTTTTTTTATGTATTCATAAAACATTATTCTATAATATTTAAGTTTATATAGAGAAGGATAAAGGTTTTTATTATTATTATTTTAAAGTTAATGAGAGTGATGTTTGGATCTCACTAAAATAATTCATAAATACTTTAACTGTGTTGATTACTTAATAAATACTTTAAACTAACTTTGCTTTTTATTTTAAGTAAGACAAAATAAACCAATAATTAAAATAAGAAATAATATATATGTATTTATAATATATAACTATTATTAAGTAGGTTTATATAGGTGTTAGTCGAAACGACTAATAATAAGTATTTCCGTATAAAAAATATGATTAGTATTCTAGGGTTAAGCAAGTGTAAGAAAAAGCGCTCCGGAAATCATTTATTCGCGTACACTGGCGTGATGGCTAGTGATACGTAAATACAATGGTTTACAGAAATGTTGATCTTTTGTCTACCTAAAAAATATCCACTATACTATATGCCTATTTCTTATAAATAAGAATAAATCACAATAAGGTATTTGTGACGAAAAAAATTGAAAATTGAAAGTGATTTATGAGCGTTATTATTAGGCATTCCTTACGAACGAAAGTTACGTCATCATCAATACAATTTTATGAAGCTCTTTGTAGCATGTTATTTGGGCGCATAGTTTAAGAGATAATGAAAAATTAAAACAATTGAATACTCGGCTCGCCGCGCGAACGATGCATAAACCCTAGCCGCCATATGAGAACCGAGAGAAACCAGCTGTAAACACATCTGAGTGAGGTTAGTTGAATAATTTTAGGTAAAAAAATAGCAAAATTAATGGAGTACTTCTAATCCATTCTTATACGTGGCAGAGACACGCTGCAGCTATATTATGGTTGTAGCACGAATGGGTCGGCTCGACCGGGGAAGGAGTAGGAGCACGCTCTCACAGAATACCAGCGTAAAATAGCAGCAAAATTCTGCTGTGTTTCGAATGATGAGTGTAGAGACCTGGAAAACTTTTTTTACTGCAAACGAGGCGTTCTATCTTAGTCCTCATGGTATTACTCATTTTGATTCTTAATCTAGGATATATGTAGATGTGTATGAGCCACAGTATACACTTACTCTCTGGTAGACTGTGTGCTCATATGTCACTCTTATTCTATAAAAGAAAACTATTGACATATATACGTCATAGAGTGAAGTTAAATTTTATCCACTCTCCCTCCCCCATCCAGGTGAGCGTCACCCCCCGAGCCCCAAAGTGTCCCGAAGTGTTTTCAATTTAAATTAAAATGGATAATACCTACGTGCGCCAAATCACCAAAGTTGTATGGGTTACCAAAAATACACAAGCCCAATGCTCCATTACGCCCCATAGTGAGCCAAATCGATTCACCAACTTACAGATTGGCTCAACACTTAGCGAAAATACTCTCACCGCACAGGGGACATACAAGAGCACACATAAAGGATTCCTACTATTTTGTCAGCGAGATTAAAGACCTACGTCTGGCAGACAATGAAACTATGGTCAGTTTTGATGTGCAGTCATTGTTTACATGCTTACCTGTTGAAGACTGCATCTCAATTGTAACTAGAAGGCTGGAAGAAAACAACATGCCCGTAGAATATGCAGTATTACTCAGACACTGCCTTACATCTGGCTACCTATTGTGGAAGGAGGAGTTCTACAAGCAAGTAGATGGTGTGGCGATGGGCTCACCTGTATCTCCCATTGTCGCCGACATATTCATGGAAGACTTTGAGGAGAAAGCCCTGCTTACTTCTCCCATAAATCCAAGTTTCTACAAGCAGTACGTACACGACACTTTCACAATTCTACCTTTAAATAAAGTAACTGCATTTTTAGACCATCTTAACTCTATAAATTCTAAAATTCAGTTCACAATGGAGTTAGAGGCAAACAATTCCTTAGCTTTTCTAGATGTGTTAGTAATTCGGAATCCTGATAACACCTTGAGCCATACTGTGTATAGAAAAAAGACCCATACAGATAGATATTTAAACGGTGATTCTCACCACCATCCTTCACAGTTAGCTACCGTGGGTAAATCTTTGTTTCAGAGAGCACGAGGGATCTGTGACAGTAAACACCTGGCTGCCGAGCTCCACCATGTCAAGCAAGTTTTGCATGACAACAAGCTACGGGTCCCGCGCCTACGTCACAGAGAACGAGTGAAGCCGGCCACAGTCGAGCGTGTACCTGCTGTACTGCCATATGTTAGAGGAGTCACTGACAAGATTGGCTACATCTTGAAGCGCGCTTCCATCAAAACATACTTCAAGCCGCCGAAGAAGATTGGTCAGTTTTTACCATCAGTCAAGTGTAACGTCCCTCTGCAAGATGCAGGAGTGTACAAGCTTGATTGTGAATGTGGTCTCTCCTACATAGGACAAACTAAAAGATCCATTAAAACCCGCGTCAAAGAACATATAGCTGATGTGAAGAATCGACGCTCCGGGAAGTCTGCAGTCTGTGAACATGTACAGGATCGCCCCCGTCACTACATCAGATTTGATAGACCACAAATCCTCGCTAAAGAACACCGATTCCTTCCAAGGATGATTCGCGAGGCTATTGAAATCAAAAAACATCCTAATTTCAATAGAGAAGGTGGCTGGGTGCTACCATCTGCTTGGGATCCTATAATAAATAAAATTAAATTCCAACCCAAGCATACAACTGCAAGACTCCATGATACCATAAGTTCATACTGTGTAGATCGGAACAAAAGTTAAATTTTAATCTATGGTAACCGCGGTTAACTATGACAGCTGGACGTTGAACATCTCAGTCCTTCCCGTGACCATGGGTGCTGTAAAGCTCTCGAAACGTCGGGTAATTAAAAAGTTAAATATACGCGATAAATTCCGTAAAAACTAGTATTATTTCAATGTGTAGTGTTCGCGTAAATATAAGAAATCATTATGTTTTCAATTTCATTAGAAAACCGTACACGACACATGAAAAGAGTATAGGGACGAAATAATCCTTGATAAATTTGCTAGTAACCACTTATATATACAAAAGTGGTAGATTTTGAATAAATAAGCTTTGAGCAAAAAAATCGATTAATAATAAAAAAATGTACATATTTCGTAGCAGATTGCGCGGTAACTATAAG